GAGGACGGTCCCCGCCTGTCCTCGTTCCTGTCCCTGCAGAGCTTTGTCCGTGTGTCACCTGTGTCACCTGTCCCTGTGTCACCTGTCCCATGTGTCCCCTGTGTCACCTGTCCCATTTGTCCCCAGGTGTCCCCGGAGGACGGTCCCCGCCTGTCCTCGTTCCTGTCCCTGCAGAGCTTTGTCCCTGTGTCACCTGTGTCACCTGTGTCCCCTGTGTCACCTGTCCCATTTGTCCCCAGGTGTCCCCGGAGGACGGTCCCCGCCTGTCCCTGTGTCACCTGTGTCACCTGTCTCTGTCCCCAGGTCTCCCCCGAGGACGGTCCCCGCCTGTCCCTGTGTCACCTGTCCCTGTGTCACCTGTGTCACTTGACCCCACAGGTGTCCCCCGAGGACGGTCCCCGTCTGTCCTCGTTCCTGTCGCTGCAGAGCTTTGTCCCTGTGTCACCTGTGTCACCTGTGTCACCTGTCCCTGTCCCTGTTCCTGTGTCACCTGTGTCCCCTCTCATTTGTCCCCAGGTGTCCCCGGAGGACGGTCCCCGCCTGTCCTCGTTCCTGTCCCTGTGTCCCCTGTGTCACCTGTCCCTGTGTCACCTGTGTCCCCTTTGTCCCCACAGGTGTCCCCGGAGGACGGTCCCCGCCTGTCCTCGTTCCTGTCCCTGTGTCACCTGTCCCTGTGTCACCTGTCCCTGTCTCTGTCCCCAGGTGTCCCCCGAGGACGGTCCCCGCCTGGCCGTGTTCCTGTCTCTGTGTCACCTGTGTCTCCTGTCCCTGTGTCACCTGTGTCACCTGTCCCTCTGTCACCTCTCTCACCTGTCCCTGTGTCACCTGTCCCTGTCTCTGTCCCCAGGTGTCCCCGGAGGACGGTCCCCGCCTGTCCTCGTTCCTGTCGCTGCAGAGCTTTGTCCCTGTGTCACCTGTGTCACCTGTCCCTGTGTCAGCTGTGTCCCATTTGTCCCCAGGTGTCCCCCGAGGACGGTCCCCGCCTGTCCCTATGTCACCTGTCCCTGTCCCTGTGTCACCTGTGTCACCTGTGTCACTTGTCCCCGCAGGTGTCCCCCGAGGACAGTCCCCGCCTGTCTGCGTTCCTGTCCCTGTCTCACCTGTCCCTGTGTCACCTGTGTCACTTGTCCCCGCAGGTGTCCCCCGAGGACGGTCCCCGCCTGTCCCTGTGTCACCTGTGTCCCCTTTGTCCCCAGGTGTCCCCCGAGGACGGTCCCCGCCTGTCGGCGTTCCTGTCCCTGTGTCACCTGTGTCCCCTCTCATTTGTCCCCAGGTGTCCCCGGAGGACGGTCCCCGCCTGTCCTCGTTCCTGTCACTGCAGAGCTTTGTCCCTGTGTCACCTGTGTCACCTGTCCCTGTCTCTGTCCCCAGGTGTCCCCAGAGGACGGTCCCCGCCTGGCCCTGTGTCACCTGTGTCCCCTCTGTCCCCACAGGTGTTCCCGGAGGACGGTCCCCGCCTGTCCTCGTTCCTGTCCCTGCAGAGCTTTGTCCCTGTGTCACCTGTCCCTGTGTCACCTGTGTCACCTGTGTCCCATTTGTCCCCAGGTGTCCCCCGAGGACGGTCCCCGTCTGTCGGCGTTCCTGTCCCTGCAGAGCTTTGTGCGTGTGTCCCCTGTGTCACCTGTCCCTGTCTCTGTCCCCAGGTGTCCCCCGAGGACGGTCCCCGCCTGTCCTCGTTCCTGTCCCTGCAGAGCTTTGTGCGGGGTCAGTACGGGGACGAGGGCTCGTTCCGGGCGCTGGACGCTCACCTGAGGGCGTTACCTGGCGGTGACCACGCCCACCGGCTCTTCTACCTGGCCCTGCCCCCGAGCGTCTACACCCCGGTGACACGGCACCTGAGAGACGTCTG